AAGTATAGTTAGATTGACAGGTCTAAGGTGAAGTCACAGGAAGAAGTTTAATTGCCAGTAGAGAAAAGAGAGGGGAACCTGGATCCAGTATAGTGAGCAGTTTAGAAGCTGTCAGTCAGGCTGTCTCCTTAGAATCCCAGTTCAGTTTCCTACAGCTGTGTAGGTTGGTACTATGCCTTTAGCTTTTTCATGTAAAATAAGAACAATAATAATAAGTATTTTGTAGAGATTAAATCAGTTAAATTGAATAAGGTACTCAGCAAAGCGAGTTGGTCATGCTAAGCTCTCAATAAATTTTAGCTACTATTATTATTATTGTTATTATTATCCCTAGTTTATAACGTACTTCTTTATATGTTACTGCTGTCAACAACAGTTAAGGTAGGAAACATCTCAGTTTTTCCAGGACTGTCCCAATGATGCCTGGTATAAATAGTAATAACACTGCTTTCCTTCTCCAAAGTGTCCCAGTGTGGGGAATAAATTACATGGTCACCTTAGCAGCGGGTCCCAGAATAGAATTAGAGAATACCACCCAGAAATACATAGGTTGACAGAGCTGAGGAAAAAGTAGCTGTGGGGTATATAACCCAGGAGTTTCCAGGGTGGGTGGGGTGCCATCAATCACAACTCAGTTCCACAGGGGTAGAGCAGCCCTCATACCATTCTAGACAGATTTTTACATCCAACGCAGGAATGGCAGGGGGGAGGTCTCTTCTGAAGAAGAGAAGAATCTTTCACTGTGGCAATCAAAGAATGGTAAGAATCCCAAGTGTGTATTGGTGGTAGGGAGGGAAAAGTTTATGTTGATGAATCAGCACAGGTTGGACTTCGTGATTCACTGGTGAGAGAGATGAATCCAGTTTTCTGGGTTGATTGGCTCAAAACACAATGTCATCACTGAGAGAGATACTATTAAAAAGATAAAATATGGGAAGGAAATAAAGAGCTCAGTTTTAGACATATTAAGTTAAAAATGCCTGAGACAGACATCCAAGTGGAAATTTCCAGAAGGCAGTTGTGTATTACTAGTTCCATGTTTGGAGAGCTCTAGATTTGGTAGTCATTTGCCCGGAGGCAGTACATTAAGCCCTGTGAGTGACTGAGATCACTTAGTATAAAGAAGCCATAGCGAGAGGGAAAAAAATATGCCAGGGGTAGACTTCAGGAAACACCAACTCTTATCATATGATGGGCAGAAGAAAAAGAGGAAGCAAAAATGATAGGTGGTGAAGACCTGTAAAGAACAACATTATAAGGAAAGTCAACAGGGCTACATGTCCCCAGTAGGTCAAGATGAAGAATCTCTTGATTAACTCGTGGTGATGAAGTAGGAAGTAGAAGTGCATGCCTTCAGTTTAAAGAGGGAAGATGGATGTGAGGAAGAATGAGTCAGCAAGTAGCCCTGCACTGTCCACTGTGGTAGACGCAAGCCACATGTGGCTGTTTAAATTTGAATATAAGCTATGTTCAATTACTTATAAAAGTAAGCAAAATTAAAAATTAAGTTCCTTAGATGCAGTAGCCACATTACAAGTACTCAATAGCCCCATGTGCCTAGTGCAGGGGTCCTCAAACTTTTTAAACAGGAGGCCAGTTCACTGTCCCTCAGACTGTTGGAGGGCCGGACTATAGTTTTAAAAAGACTATGAACAAATTCCTATACACACTGCACATATCTTATTTTGAAGTAAAAAGACAAAAGGGCAAAAACACCCTCGGGCCGTAATTTGAGGACGCCTGGCTCTGGTGGCTGTAATGCTGAATAGCGCAGACGTAGATTACTTCCATTATTACAGAAAGCCCTTTTGGACAGTGTTGGAATTGTAAAGGCAGATGGAGGACGGAAACGCTTGCAAGACGTGTTGTGTCAGAGGAGAGTCTCTCCCCCGTCCATGAGCACTCGGCATAAGCCCTGAGTGAGTGTGTGTATAGCCTGAGTCTAGTGTGAGTGTGTGTATAGCCTGAATCTAGTGTGAGGCAAAGAAGTTGTGTGAGAAAGAAAAGAGAGCAAACAGGGAAGGCCCTGGGGCTCCTGGAGTCCTGGCATCCAGACTCTGGAGTAGGAACAGTTCTTTCTTCAAAAATACCCTTAAAAAAGATGGAGAAAGTGCCGATGCAGCCTCCTTTGGCAAAGCCAGGAACCAATTAACTATAGTAGCCACAGTGACTTGTTGAGAAAATGGAGGGCTGTAAACCTACAGGGGGCTTTTTTTCTATCATGAAAATAGATACTGATTTTTAAAATATTAGATAAAACCACAGGTTAAAGCTGATGGTTTGTTTTGGATTTTCAAGTTAGCAATTATAATAGCTGCAATTTAGTGATGCCTACTTTATGATACGCATTGAACTGGGTGTTTTACATTAACTGTCTTCTTTAACACATTAACTGCCATGAAACTCGTGTTTAGCTCACTCTAGTTCTTACCCTGGGGCTGCGTGAAGCATGCGTAAAGTCTTAACTTGTTGACTTCCTTATTGTTACAATTAATAATGACAATTTAATTCTAAAAACGTGTATTAAATAGAAGTCAGCAAATTTCGTTTTTCTATTTATGTTTCTTTTTAAATTACACCCAAGGTTTTTATTCTGTTTTCATAATAAAACACTGTGGCCTCCAAGGAAAAGTTTCTGGGTTTTTTGTGTGGCAGTCAGTGTGTTAAACCCACAAAGTTTCTGGGGGTTTTTTTGTGTGTGGCAGTCAATGTGTTAAATCCACAAAACAATTTTTAAAGGTTGTTTTCATTACCTTTATAAGGTTAAGTAACTTAAAGGTTCAGAATAGCTACTAATCAGGGCTATACTGGAACACAAATGTGAAATGCAGACCAGAAACTAGGCAATTACAATACAGGGAAAGACCAGAATGCTACAGGTACACGCAGCAGAGACCCCTAATTTGAATTGTTGAGAAGGCTTTTGGATATAAAGTGACACCTAATATCTGAAAGTTGAGAAACTAGTTAATTAGTGGGAAGGAGTGGTCTAGGTGAAGAAACAGCATCTTCTTAGAGTTGACAGTCAAGGAAGCGAAGGTCCAATATAGCTGGAACATCAAATGAAAAGAAAGAGAATGTTGAAAACTTTTTCTGGTGTGTGCATAGGCATGTAAGAGATAGCCATCTAGTGGTCTCTCTCACGTGTAACGAGGTATTTGCAGAGATTCTGCTCTGAAGCTGTGTTCTCACATCTATGCAACCTGTGTCCAGCCGAGCTATTACGCTGTTCTAACAATTTTTGCTTTCCTAACCCAGTAGTCCTTTTAAATGACAATTTCAAAGGAACTGAAGTGCTTTACATTTGGTAATTTATCACAGCTTTTCAATTTTTACTTATAAACCCGAATGACTATGCATAGTTCCGATCCTGTGTTCTTCCATCAAGATTAACCTTAAACATATGAATTCAAATTTTTAAATTATGTTTTTTTCTCTCCCTGAAATACTTTTGTATTTCATTTTCTAGATAAAATATTTCGTTGTGCAAGCATATTAAACTATATTTAGTGTTATGGGGCATGGGAATTTAGCAGTAATGTACTGTATTAATTTTTCTTCTGTGAAGCAGAATACCACTGTGGCATAACAGATTTGGTTGAGTTATAATTTGCTTTGTTCATTTTACTGAGATTGGCCTCATCACATGGTAATTATTTTCTGACTCAAGATTTCACCTGGGATAAGCTGATTTCATGGGCAAGAATTGAAAACCTACTTTGAATCATTAAAACAAGACTATTTGTAAACATGACAGGATCTCTTAGCATCATTTTGGAAAGATTTTGTGTCCCCTTTTACCGATTTCTTAATAATATATTCTTCAGTGGAATGAGTCATGGCTAAACCAGTTACCGTTTTCATCTCCTAATGGTCATGAGAAAAGGTTTTAAAAAATGTTATCTAATGGTGCTGTAAATGTAATTAAAACTTAAGCAGTGGGACTCCATAGTCACTAAGTAATTTCTTCATTAGTGCCACATAGAATAGAGTGAGGAAAAGGAAAAACTGGGAGTTATCTTTAAATTTGGCTTAGCAAAGCAGTTTTGTGTTTCCATTTAGAGTGTGTGTGTGTGTGTGTGTATTTCCCACTCAGTTGATATGAATGTATTTCAAGCCATAGATATAAATGATGAGGATTAAAATGATTCATGAATTTCTATAGTCAAATTTTATATATGTGATAATTTTTTATAAATAATTTGCTTTCATGGAATTAGATTACCATATCCAAGTTTGCTCGTTAATATAGGAAGGCATAGAATACATTTTAATTATTAATCATTCTGATGATATTAGTTTGTTAAAATATTCTCCTTTGTTTGAAACTGATTTAAAAGTCTTCTTTGCTTATAAAAGTAATTTTCTGGAATTTGTTCATTTGTTTAAAAGGAACAACTGGAGTTATTTACAGTAGTACTGCTAACAAAGTAATAATAAAACTTTGGTTTGTCAATTGCCACATGGATATGTATTTGTTAGACTTGTGTTTTTTGGGACCTGCTCAAAAAAATGTATACTTAATTTCTTGTGGCTTATACTTTAATAGGTTTTTAAAGACAACTGCAAAGAGTTTGCTTGTGAAGGTATCTGTTGTCTAATGTAGCTATTGATGATTTTTTTAAATTTTAGAAATGTGATGAGCTCTTAACTTCTATATCAGTTCCACTATACTGTGATAATGGAAATCATTTATTGAAATGTGCCATGCAATTACATAAGCTTTATTTTTTTCTACTAATATGTCATTGGAAGTTACTTTATGGGCTCCTGAAATCACAGAAAGAAGTAGGTGGTGTATAAAATGAAATGTGAAGGTATATTATCCATTCACTGTTCTCAGAATTCATCTTTTTTTCCTCCTGTGCTTGGAAAACTGAGGGCAACCTTCTCTCTCATTTGTGAAAAACCAGGAGATAATATTTTTAAAGCACCAAATTTTATAAATTTTGCACTCTTATGAACCCTCCACCTCCTTATCTCTTCTCTTTTTTCCACAGGTGATTTCTATTCACTACTTTCCAAGCTGCTAGGAGAAAGGGAAGATGTTGTTCATGTGCACAAATATAATCCTACAGAAAAGGCAGAATCAGAGTCAGACCTGGTAGCTGAGATTGCAAACGTAGTCCAGAAAAAGGATCTTGGTCGGTCTGACGCCAAAGAGGGTGCAGAACATGAGGAGAGGGGCAATGGTATTCTTGTCAGAGACAGAATTCACAAATTCCACAGACTAGAATCTACTCTGAGGCCAGCAGAGAGCAGAGTTTTCTCATTACAGCAGCCCCCACCTGGTGAAGGCGTCTGGGAACCAGAACCAGAACACACAGGAGGTGCGTTTAGGGTTTCTTTTAAGGAATAAAGTGTGAAATGCTACAGTCTACACTAGCAAAATCTGAAGGGAATAAGTGTTAACAGGTGAAAAAAAAAACAAAACTCATTCATGATAGGGATTTATCATTAGAAAAAACATTACTCAGATTTGGTTATCAGATATTACCTTTGTTTAAGTAGTTTATTTCTTTTTATTTTGGTCCAGTGCTACATAAATTCTGTGTCTGTTTGGATCGTTTTGGAAAGAGTAGCGTTTGAAATTCCGGATAACAAATTATTAACAAATCAACATTTTCCATTTTATTCAATGGAAAGAAATCGAAAATTCAAAACCTAGCATGTAAAGACCCAGTGTATGAAATGCTTATACACTATTTTCTTTTAAGGTAATTCAGTTCCTTTCAAAGAAATCTTATATTTTCCAACATGCTCATCCAATTAACTTGTAAAGTATAACCATTTTTCTGACTTTGATTTCTTAAGTTCCATTATTGATTACTATCTTAATTGGAAAGTCAAGTATTTCTGAAGGGACCACCAGTAAGTCAATAACTGTCAGATTTATCTTTATTTCTAGCCAGAATTGGCTTCCATAATTAGAGGACAATACCTTATTCCCTTCAGGTTTCTGTACCGCAAGCTATGGATGCCTCATCTTTGTCTTTAATTGTGTTGTGGCCTCTGTGATATTGATTGTGTTTCGTGTTACTTGCTGATGTGGAAAGCCAGATAATACAGCATGTAGAGATAATCTCCAAAAAAGTAACGGATATGCGTGCATGGCAGCTGTCCATGCGTGGGCTGGAATGGCACAGGCTGCCAGCTTGATGTTTTCAAATTCAGCTTTGCAGGAAGCCATAAATTATTCAACACCCAGCTGATTTTTATTTATAATTGAAAAAAATTAGCATGCAGCGCCTTTTGCTCACATGGAAGTTTCAAGCAGTATCCATTGGGACTGGCCTAATGGTTTCTCTGAGATGTTAACTGGAACCTAGATTTTTTAACTCTTTATATTTAAACCAGATCAGCCCTGCCTCCCCCTCATTCTACATTTATCTAATAAAACTGAGTGTCTCAAGAGGTAGTCTCTGAACCTTCTGGCATCAGAATCACCTAGGGTCTAGAAAAATCTTGACCCTTGAATCCTGTCCATAAACAACTAAACTGGCATCTCTGAGTATTATACCTAGAAATCTGCAGTTTATCATTCTCCATCCATTTCATAAACACAGAGGAGTGTCTGACCTCTATATTAAGAACAGTGAATTGTAACCCAAACAACATAGAAATATAAAAGGTTCAAGGGCCTCAGGTAAAAATAAAATTCCGTTCCTGTGTGAAATGCTAGAGTTGCAGCATGCTTTATTCCATGACTTGTCTTTGTTACTCTTGGATTTATTTATAGGCATTCTTCATGTCACTATAACAGTCAGAGTTTGACTTAAGGCATTGTATTTCTGAAACCTACTTAGTTTTTCTATGAAAGACATCCTTAAAATCCCTGAATATATTTATTTGCCAAATATTCTCTTACCTTCCAGGGTGGTCAAATGGCAGTGCTCAGGAGAACAAATGTTTCTCCAGGATCTGGTTCAGGAAAATTTCCTTTCATCTTATATATATATATGTGAGTGAATGTCCCTGAAGTGAATAAAACAATGAATCATAGAAACATACAGCACAAATCCTAATTATAGAAAGGACTTTACATGTGTTTTCTTTCTAAAATGACTTAATGTTATTTTACTACTGTAATTCTAAAACTTTAAAAAAATTAGGTGAAAAATAGCATTTATTTAGGTGAGTTGTTTCTAAAAGGCTTTTTCTTAATTCTCGTTCACTGTTTACTGTAACGCAGTGTAATATCTGACTTAAATAGGTGCTGTTTCATCCTTTTGGATAAGCCAGAGGAAGACCTATCCTCAGGAATCTTCCGTTTGGCAAAAAAGAAAGTAGGAAATCATTAGCATATAAGGCCCTAATAAAATATATTAGTAGTCCAATTCATGTATATTCCTCAGGGTATGGTCAAAGGAAATAAATCTGATGGATATTCTTCCATTGTTTATCTCATACCCTTTCTTTACTCCAGGCAAAGCTGACAGTGGGCCCTAATGGTCTGAAGGAATTACCTTTCTCCCTAAGTACCTAATTTGCTACAGGGAATTATATTAGCTACATAGAAGAAAGTAACTTTTTATATAAGATTGCTACTAAAAGAAAAATGTAATGCTGTTGTATTGCTTAATATTATAGCTTCTATTCCTTTGAGATATCTTTGACAGCTATTAATAATTTTTAAATGAAGACACCAAAGCTGAGAGACATTAACCCATTTGAGTGAGATCACAGGGTCTGAATTTAAAACTTGGAGTTTATGATTTCCAGTGTACACCTTCTAGTTCCTTACGTTTCAGTACAGTTGTGCTCAAAGAAGGGCTGATGGGCTTACTCAGTTTAGATATACTTCCCTTGAGCTCTGGGTCCTCACTGCTTAGAGGTTGGAGGCGTCAGCTCAGGACCCTGTTCTGAAGTCCCCAATTCTTGGCACCAGCATAACCCAATACAGTGGTGTCTTCAGCAGCAATCCTTTAGATTTCATTGATCAGTCCATATGTTGGCACTGCAATATGGTGATGGACCCCAGCCAGCTGACTTGAGGGTTCAAAGGTGAAATGAATGGATCAGGTCTAAAATCTGGATGTAACTCTTTGTGATAAGCCCAGGAATACCTGAGGGTTCAAAAACAATACCATTTTGTGGGCCTTTAGTTTGGTCAAGATTCGCTTGGTTCCACACCCTGGCCTTTAAAGTTGGGTTCTCCAGCTCATTATTGGTTGGATATCAGGGCACTGAGCTGCATGAAAAACACAATAGGATGACATCTCTTCCAGCTGTGCATGAGCAAGAAAGTCCTTACATTCCTCAGCACAAGATGGTTGTGTATTTTGTCTTCATTGTGTCTCTAAGAGCACAAATATCTGTAAGCAGCATCATTTTTTAGGTCTTATCTTCATGACTTTTGGTGAGGTTCAGGTTTTATTCTGAAAACTCTTCTCCCAGCAGTTATGAAAGCAGCATTAGCAACAGAGAAACTTCCTGAACATGTTTAGCTAAACTAGACAAGAGTTTTTCAAATTGTCTGAAAAGGGATGCCTCAAGCAGGAAGTGGTAGTTATAGACACACACACACACAGACACACACACACACACACACACACACACACACACACACACACACTACAGCTTCTCCCAGAGCAGTTCTGCATTTAGCCAAAATAAAATTTGGAAACCACTCCATGAAGGTAGTATAATGTAAAAGACACTGACCCTGGGACCTGACTGCCTGTCTTTGAATTCCAGCTGCACCATTTTCTATGTGGTCTCTAGACAAGTTTTTTGTTTTTTTTTTTTTTTTTTTAATTCGCTGGGCTTTAGTTTTCTTGTCTATAAAATGAGGGTTATATAATAACAGTACAGTCCTCAAAGAGTTGAAGCGAGGATCAAATGAGCTTATACAGGAAAAGATACATGAAAAGCGCTTTGATCCATCTCTGGCACACAGAAAGCATTTAATAAATGTTATGATACATTAACAACAATTATTATTATTGCTACCATTACTGTCATGTTGGATTGAGATTTCAAAAAATTAAATGCCAAACTATAAATATTAATTACTGTCTTAAGCAGCACTTATGAGAGAAAGAATTCTCTTGCAGTGTGTAGGAAAGCTGCAAAATTTGGCACTCTAAGCTGATAAATTGAGAATGTGACTTGGTAACGTTCTATCATAGTGAGAGTTTGTGGCTCTTTAAACTTTTGCTCACTTACATTGATCTACCTTGATGTTTGCATGTGATATGTGATGGAAGTGTGAAGATATTCAACTTGGTAAACTAAAGAGCAAAATGCACTCCATTTTACACTTAATAAAATTTAACTTCTGTCATTAGTTTAATATCTATATTGATACAGCATTAATAGAGTAGAAATGAAATCTTAGGTGTTTTTATTCTGGTTGCCTCTTAGAAACTAGACTCATTGAACAATAAATAAAAAACTATAGATGGCTATTCTGGCTGGCAAATTTGATTGGACTACCATATACTGGTATATGGAAGCTTGATTCAACATACATTGCAAACCTCTGGGCATCAGAAAACACATCTGCATTTGACACTTATGATCAGATAAAAGGATTCAGAGGATCTTCATTCTTATGATATATTTAGTGTTTTCTTCATTTCTACGGAAATTTTACTTAATTTCAGAGTCCATTCTTATATTTCAGTCATATGCTTACAGTAGGTTCAAGTCTTACAAAATTCCCAGAGCACTAAGTCATTCAGTTGGCTGAATTTTCATCTCTGGAAGGGAGGAGAATAATAAAAACAAACACGTACACAGCACTTACTTTGAGCCAGGTAGTGTTTTAGATGCATTCTTTCATAAGAGAGGAAGAAACTGATGCATAGAGTGGTTAAGTGCTGCTCAAAGTGCCAAGTGCTCAAAGTGCTCAAGGAACGAATATGAAAGCCAGGCAGACTTGCTCCTGAGTCTTGGTTTTTAATCACTTTGTTATTCTCTATCTTGCAAAAAAATAAAATATCTAGATATACATATAAATAGGAAAATGAATTTTTTCCATTCATCAAGTTATCTCAGTCTACAATTATAATAACTGTAGGTGTTATAGGTGTATTAGTCATGCTTTCTCAGTCAGTATCCAAACAGTTTGACCAACATGAAAGTCCCATTTGCAATTAAAGAAACCTTTAAAAGAATTCTACTAATGCTTTTGAGCCCCTATTTATATTTAACTGTCTCACTTCATTCCCATTAAATGAAACGTTGTAATTATTCTTGTTTTCTTCCTGACTTTTATATAAATATTTCTCCTGTAGTTTTAGTTAATTATAGTTATTGCTGGGCACTTCTGATGAGTAATAATCCCTGACCAAAATAAGAAATCTCTTTCTCACTAGATGAAAAT